CTCTTTGTGCTGGTGTGGGGTGGTGTGTGTGTGTGTGTGTGTGTGTGTGTGTGTGTGTGTGTGTGTGTGTGTGTGTGTGTTAGGAAAAAGCTAACTCAAAAACAAGATATTGAAAAATCCTAAAGGGCAGGGCAGGGGCTCCATCCTGGGTACCACCTACCCTGGCCATGTGACCTTCCCCGTTCACCCTGGTTGGGCCTCATTCTTCTTCCCTTCTAACCCATTGCATTGCTGAGTCTAGTTTTTATTTTAAATGAAAAAGGTAAAATGCAGTAATAATTGCATCATATAAAAACTAGCAGTTTGAATATTTTTGTCTAGGATGATAATAAATAATATCGATATATTATAATAATAGTAATATGAGAGTGATGATAATAATGGTAGTAGTAGTTAGCATTATTTGAATGCCTCCGACGTTCCAGCACTGTGCTAAGCACTTTATGTGTATTAACTTATTTAATTTTCGTAAATCTCCATATATCTGGCTCATTTTACAAAGGAGACAACTGAGCCTTAGAAAAGTTAAGAAACTTCACCTAAGATTTCACAGTCCGTATGTGACAGGGTAGGTATTCCATTCCAAGTTGTCCGACCCCAGAGGGGGTGCTCGGAACCACTGTGCCATACAATCATATTTTATGCGTACGATCTTATCTGCGTAAGAATTTTACTTATCCTGTGTAAGCTAAATACCACAAGCTGCATTCAATACAAATTGTTAGCATAGCGAATTGATTTAAGATGAGTAATATGCCTTTTATGAATTCTTATTTAATATTTTATGCCTGAAATATACTCTAGAGGATGGACTCTCCTTTTTATCAGTGGTGTGGACCCCTGAGATGGATCCTGGATACCTAATATCAATCAAGTTCTTGTTGAGATTTCTTCTTTAATCTAGGATGTTCACACTGCGGTTATTTAATGTTCAAAGGACACCTAAAAGCATCAATGATTGATGCTTATGGATGTAGTTGTATCCCTGGGAGAGATCTATACTCCCTAGTAAGGAACATACAATCACATGGTAAAATATATTTCTTCTAGAGTCGGAGGGTGAAAGAGACTGTCTCACAAAAGTGGCGGCACCGAGAACATGTCATCTGGACTTCTCCTGTTCCTCAAGAACTGAATATAATTTAATCAGCCTGATGCCTTTTAAAATCAAAACTAAAGAGTGAGATTAATCCCCAGATTAAATCTAGTTTAGCTAGAACAACACATTTTTTAGCATTAAGATAACTCCTCATATTTTTGCACCTAGAAACAAAAAATCAAGAACAGATAAAAAACTGTGATGTAATTTAAGTCAAATGGTAGCATGTAGCGATCTTCCTGGATTGGAATTACTAAACAATGGGCAGCTGGGTCCTTCTATTTTCATGCAAAGACCCATATGCATAGTCATGGCCATTCAGTATGGCAAAACTCATGCATCTGAGATATTCTAGGACTTGAAGTTTCATGCTCCTCTCCACAAACTTTGTTTGGAGGACAAGCTGGTGACAGATTCCTGTAGTTTCCTTCTTTGTGCTATAAAAAGTGTCCATTCTCTAACTCAAAACACTCAGCTCACATCTAAAAAAGGACATAGTTGTACATACAAAAGTAATTATGAAATCAAGACAAAAATATGTGGTAAAATGCATAAAGCTGGCAATTTCTATTCTAAAGTACAAGGACGAGAGTTTTCATGTTTGCGCTATGTCACTGTACCTCAGTATGTCAGAGAACTCGAAACAACATTACTTACATAATCCCAATTTCTTCCAAATAAGGATATCCCAAGGGTTTGGGCGTCAATCGCACATATGCCTTCAAGGTCATGTCTTCTCTACCAAGAAATGTGACAAAATCAGAATTTTCCACAGCGACATTCACCCCTGCTTGACTCTCTCTGTATTACAGATAATTCTTTGGGCACGGGTGGGGTGGGGGGATACTGAAGGATTTGCCTCTGGATACAGAAACGCAGGAAGGGCAGAGTGAGAGTCAATGTCACTGAATACATCACTCTCAACAGCCATCTGACTGTGCGCTCACAGCGTCGACCCCCTCCTGGCTCAGTCCTTCAAGGTTTTCTTGGTACGAGGGAAGCCAGAGATACTACCGTATGAGGCTCAAACCAGGCCCTGGAAATCCTTAACCCCAGGCTCATGGGCTGGTTTGGAGAACTCCCTTTCCAGATTTGAAACCTTGTCCAAATTTCTATGAAAATCTGGTCATTCATAAACCTTCGTGGTCTGGATAAGAATGCTGGCACCTTCCAAAGAGAACCCAGGCCAGACCGATCCAATTTCCAGAGCTCAGTGTATTGAACGTCACATCAGGCACTCGAGTGCAAAAGATCCTTGGTCAATCAAAAAAGGGCAAGAGAAAGACACAGCTCAGTGAGACGGTATAAACCTAACCAAAGACCTCTTCCCTAGGTAAACATACCCCTGAGTAATTTCCTTCTAGAGATTGCTGTGCAAAAAACGCTAAGGAATGTTTTGCCTCTGATTTCTGAAGGCAAGTTCCCTCTCTGATTGATGAAGGTGGATTGCTTAATCCATGGAAATTTTTTCCACCATACAGTCAACTACACAAAGCATGCCACCACCAAATTTTGACATGCATTGCAATTTCCATCACTTGTTCATTTTTTGACTCAGTCTCAGATTGTCACAATTCTGACGAACCTGGAATAAGCAAGGCATTTACTACCATCAAGGAATAGAGCCAGTGTCAAGCTATCCCTTCCAGACACCTGCCTGGAGGTGGGCAGATCCACAGATGCACGGTTAATGTGATGGCAACTCCATCAGGACACAACCTCCTCACTACGACCAAGCTGGTCTGGCAGAGCTGGTATTAAATATGCGTCTGAGATAAAGCAATAACGGTCAGGCCTGTGCCGAGATGTTAAGGTGTTACCTCCTAAAAACTCTTAAGTGGGTGGTGTGGCGTAGTAGAAGAAAACACTTGTCAAGGGCCAGCTCTGTCCCTCATTAGAGTTTGAATTTAGGCAAACCACTTTACTTCTGAGCACTTCAATTTCCCATCGAGGAGATACTTATTATTATGCTTATCTCATGGGATCGCTGTGAGAACGAGTGAGACTCTTACACGCCATACTGACATTAGATCCCATTATAAACTGCCTTGTTGTCCAACTGTTCTTGCAAATGATGTTCCAACAGGTATCAGTGGAGGCGCAAGCTCTGAGGCTTCTAGAATCCCTTCTTTCGCCTTAGCTCAGCCCCAGGCCACATATGTAAAAGTCAACCTAACGTAGCAACTTAATTTTAGACCCTTTTCAAAGTTACACACAACCTTGTGAACTGTTCGATCACACTAGAATTTCACAGGGAAATAAACAGCAGCTCCATGTGACCAATAGGAGCAGGATGATTAAGTCAACTAAAAAGCAAAGTAGTCTCTTGATATGAACAGGAAATCATGTCCCCAGGACAGCCGCTGGCCTAGAGAAGCCAGCTGTGATTGACAGGGACACCAGTCTATTTTACCTCCCCAAAACTTCACAGAGAAGGGACAGGAGCCCCAATTTCCCTATAGGAAATGATGAAAACGATTAGCCTGGGGGACAGCAACCTTCTATGAAGAGACACATCATGGGTCCTTCTCATCTACCAAGATCCTATATCCTTACTGGAAGGGACACCATTCCAAATGCACAGACCTCAGGGGCTGAGGACGTGTTGTCACTTCATTTACTTCGTTGGCAAAGAAGGTGAGGAGTGTTCGCTGTTTGCTCCGCTAATAGGAATAAGATTATTGTCCTTTCACCATCGGCAACCGAGCAACTAAGTATGTAGATCCCAGTTCACAAGGACCCAG